ACCTAGTGTCCTTAATTTCCGTGTTGCAGAATTAAAAAACTGAGGTCCAAGTTGGTTAGCTTGACCAAGATTCTACTTAGCAAGTACTAAAACCAGGACAAGGCCTCTTTATCTCCAAGCCTGTGCCTTTAATCACTTCAGTACTACTAGTTAAACAAATGTATATCAAAATTAAGGAACACATTGTCCTGTCTGATTTTTTTAAATTTATGATTTAGCATCATTTTCTTAGCCAACGAGTATAGGCCAGCATTGGTTGTAGTGTTACCCATACAGCTTAAGAAGTTTAAAATCCAGGATATGAACCTTTTTTTTTTTTTTGTCGGTCGTGGGGCTTGAACTCTGGGCTTTGGGCGCTGTGCTTGTGCTCTTCAGTTCAAGATGAGCGCTCTACCACTTGAGCCACAGCATCACTTCTGATTTTCTAGTGGTTAATTGGAGATAAGAGTCTCATGGACTTTCCTAACCCGGCTGGCTTTGAACCGTGATTCTCAGATCTCAGCCTCCTGACTAGCTAGGATTATAGGCTTGAGCCAGCAGTGCTTGGCAAGCATGAACCATTATTTAATATATGCGTTTTATAAAGTATGAATGTGCTTATAAGGTTTACTTAAGAAAAGAATTGGGGGTTTGTTTGAATTTTGACCATCGAAATTCTGATACATTTCTCATTTAATTCAAGAGGGAGATTGAGACAGAAATAAACTTTTGATTCAGCAAAAGTTAGTGGACAGGCTAGCCTCTTGATTTAATATTTGTCTGTGTATTTTGTGTTACATATTTAAAGGTAAGTGGCAAATTTTCACACACTTCCAAGCTGCTTCCATCAGGAATGAAATACTTGGCTTGGGTAATCTCTTGAGTCCCAGTGTTACAGCTTCAACTTTCCATTCAGCCCTGCCAGACACTAACTTTAAAAATCTTTTTTTTTTTTTAAATGGAGAATGCCTCCAAAAGGTGCAGCTGTGTGCCGGTTTCATCTTGCACTTCACAGTAGTGTTGGCACCATTCTGTGCAAGGAATGCCACTGTCTCCCACACAACACAGCGCTTGTGCCTTAGGACTGTTAAGGCCTGTCAGTGTTAGTGGTTTGGGAAAAAGCTTCAGTTTGGAAAGAGGGTTCTCCAAAGGTTCCCTGTGATTGGCTGCCACCAGGACAAAGTAGGGAGAAGGGAATGAAGTGATGTGAAAATGCAACCTCTGATGTGTCACAAATTATACAGTCTGAAATGCCTGGCTCGCCCATGTTCTTTGTCAATTTTATTGAAGATTGATTTCCTTTTTCTGATGTAAAGTGTGCCTGGATTCAACATTTTGAGACCTCTCAGCTCTTCTTTGTTTGTTTCTCCTTATATGATACTGACTTCTTGTGATGAAAAATAATACAGCTATATGAAAACTGCGGTTGGATTGTCATGGAGAAATCTACCAATGCATCCAGATTCTTAAGAGTGAATTTGGCTCTCTAGGCTTAGACAGTGTGAATGGCAGTCTTCCTCATTCAGGGATAGAAACCTTTTCAGAAGGTGAAAGCAAATGTATATTTATATTTATAGGTAGACTTTAGAAAGATTTGTTGAATTCATTTCTTTAGCCTCATTCTGTGATCACACTATTATGTGATGCTTTGTCATGGATTTGTCAAAGAACAACTTACTGAGTTTGGCTTTTTCCCTTTGGAATCTCTTACAATAAAATCTGACAAAAAATCTAATGCGATTAAAACAATAGTTGATTTTAGATTTTCAGTAAAAATTAATGTTTCCTTTTATAACACTATATAGGGTTTTGAAAGAACTTGAAAATTATTGGGGCCCAGTGCTATATTCCCTATGTCTAAATATTTCAAAGACAAAGTAGATTGTTTTTCATAAATTTTACCTTTTAAAACTCTCATTGCACCCTTCCCCCCAAAAAAGTTACACTAAAACAAAAAATTCAGTGAAAAATCTCATTCAGCTATAATGTTTCAGTCCATACGCTTAAACAATAAGCTTTTTTTTTCCAGCACTAAAAATTTCTTAGGAAGTTTATTCAGTATTTTACAAAACAACTTACACTTCTTACTATAGGATACATAGTTGTTGTTTTTTCTCAAATAGTAATCTGGTTTTGGGGAAAGTCCATGTTCTTATGATACCTGGTTGATAGTCATGAGAGTTTTCAGAAACTTTCCTTGAAACAAATGATATTCTGTAGCTCAGCATAGTATGGGTAAATTAAAATGTTTTTATTTTTTTCCCTGAAGAACCACAGGACAAAGGAAAGTAATAAGTTTTTTGCTTTTGACAATTTTTTCAGTCCAAATGAAGAAAAAAAGAGATGCCCTTTGTGTGTAACATTTGCCAGCCCAGCAGTCTAACCACTGTTGGGTACATATTTCAGTCACAATTAGATGAAATCGCTAATTATCATTTAATTTAACTTTCAGATTTGCCTGCAGAAATGGTCATGCTGATAAGATTCTGGAAACAGATAAACCTTTATTAAGCAATTCCATTTGCAGTGCCAATGATTCTTTTTAAATTTTAAAAACACACCTGTGTTATTTATGGGGGTACAGGAAGAATTGGTATGATAGTTACTGAAGTACTTGTAGGTATGTTTGTCTGTGTATTTACTATTTCATCTCAAGCTTGTTGAGTCTATCAGAGGTGCTAGGAATCACTGATTTATGAGAGCTATGGGGGGACATTTTGTGACCTCGAATTGATACATTTTTCTACCTTTAAATCTCCTTTCTCTTTCATATCCTAATAGGACAATGTTCATTTTGTTTAGTGTAGGTCTTTGTGGGAGAAAATACTTTTATGAGCTAAAAATTCTAAGGCCAGGGGAAGTGGTTTATAATTCAACAAAGGAAATGAAATGGTGTGCTCTTTTCCTTTTGTAGTGCTTCTTTTTTTTTTTTAATTTAACAGTGTTTTTAATTACAGAGACTATGAAAACTTTAAAGACATTTGTGTTTCAAGTGGTTTCCCAGTGTATTCATGTTTTCACATTAGACACGTAGAGATGCTGTTGTTGGATTTATTCAGGGGAGTTAAAAAATTACTGCTTCAAGCCCCACGACCACCACCACCAACAACAAAAAAAGCAAAACTTATTGCTGACTCCAAACAGATTACTAACCCCAATCTTGGGCATTCTGATTCCAGAGATGGACTGGCCCTCCAGCTCTGCCCAGGGGTGGTCTGATTAGGTGATGGCTCATCTTCAGCCTTCAGAGAGGCTGAAAAGGATGAGAGCCAGCCATGCTGCCCTAGGACAAAGTCACGGAGGAAACCAAATGGTGAACATTTGAGTGGAGCATTGATGAGCCTGTCAGGGGGACATGTCTCAGGGATAGGCTGCTATGGAGTCTTTGTTATACAGAGTGATTCAGAAATCATCTGCCACTGAAAAAGATTTGTCTTTGTTGTCCCCATACTTGCATTATATAGATAGCTATTTCAATCTGTGTCAGTTAAAAATTTAAAACTTTGGTTCCTGAACTTACCCTTGATTGCATTTTTGATGTTCAGTAGCCCCTGTGGCTAGTAGTTTTTTAATTGACAATCATAGCTCTGCAAATATTTCTGTGATCACAAGATCCTCAGGAACTTAGCCAGTGCTTCCTTTGTCCTCGGTAGTCACAGTGGCTAGTAGTTAGGCGGCATATCACAAATGTCTGTTTGCTGCAGACAGTACTCTCGACAAGGGGCTTAGGGTTTGCAGAGTAACTTACACAAATCATATATAGTTCTCTCCGGTCAGAATCTAACCATTTTTATTTTTGCATCAGTTGCTGTTCTATGTTCACTTTTAGCAATTGAAATACCATGCTAAAAAACTTGTTTAGGATGGTGTATGGCTTATGGTAAAAAAAACTACACCACTAAAACACATTAAAACAAAAGTACAATTAGTTTTTCTTAGATTGTATGAACTATAATGAATTTTTTAAGGGAAAAAATAAAGTTATCAATATAAGGTTGAAGGAAATTATCAATGCTACCCATTGGATTTTCATGTGTCATTACAACTGGTAAAACATTACAGTATGGAAAAACAGTTTTATAAAAGTATAATATTTCTTAATCTACTAATGACCCAGAATATATGGAAGGAAGTAAAAGTTCTGACAATTACTTAGGGACTTAATTTGAAGTCAGGTACTTGCCTGTAGCCACCTCTGGCATTTTAGGCACTTGGAATAAAAGTTCAAATACACAAACCCAGGTACTTTGGAACCTAAATATCTTAGTTATGTGTCGTACTAAGAAGCTGTTGGATAGAATCCGTTCTACTCTCTTTCCTATTTGGGCAGTGATTCTTTTCTATTAAACAAGAGGCCAGACTTGAATTCCATTTTCTTGGCTATCTCAGGATGCTTCATGGTAATAAAAAGGAGAGCTGTGCCCTGGCTCATTTCTTTCTTTTTTTTTGGGGGGGGGTCCAGTTGTGGGGCCTGAACTCTGGGCCTGGGCGCTGTCCCTCAGCTCTTCAGCTCAAGGCTAGCGCTCTACCACTTGAGCCACAGCACCACTTCCAGCTTTTTTTCTTTTTGCTTATGTGGTGCTGAGGAATCGAACCCAGGGCCTCAGGCATGCAAGGTAAGCACTCTACCACTGAGCCACCTTCCCAGCCCTCCCCTGGCTCATTTCTTGCCCCTCCCTGGACATCTAAGCTCTAGTCTAGCCTGAGCTAGCACAGTCTGCTGTGCCCGGTACCTGGATAGGGAGGTTTGCCCTGAGGAAGATGGCCCCAGAGGATAGACTGAAAGAGGTCATTTGTTGGGAATTTTTGGATTCTGGGTAGGTACTCTGAATAGTATGCTGGGAAAGAAGCAGCAAGTGTGTCCCGTTGGCCCTGAAAGTATGCATTCAATGGTGGGGATCCCTGTTGTTGGGCCTGAGTTTGTTACTGTCAGATGTACTTCCCATATGTAAATACTATATGGGCTAGGGCATTTGACAACCCCAAGTGAAATCTAATAGTTGGGTTTTGTTTGTTTGCAGCTTTGACTCTTCCGGATCTGGCAGAGCAGTTTGCTCCTCCTGATGTTGCCCCACCTCTCCTCACCAAACTTCTGGAAGCCATTGAAAAGAAAGGTAACTAGGCCGTCAGAAAAAATCAGTTCATTTGTTAGACCCTAACTTATTTCCTGCTGTTAAGACTCATTTGTGTCTCTGGGGGCATTCATTAAATGTCTTATTGCCTGTCATGGGCAGGTACTGTGCCAGATATACCAGCAATTTAGGTCTCTGTAGTGGGGAGATAATCTTGGCTGATAGAGATTAACACGTAGTTACTGCGTGGAAACTCTTAAATTCCCCATATTTGAATAAATATGATTAGCTGGCTTCCTAGTGGCCAGCTGGTTTTTGCCAAAACTATTCACATGCCAGATAAGATTAATAGTGTGAGTTTACTTCCAAGAATATTTGGTTCACATCTAGAATAGATAACTGGATGGAAACTGGAATGTCTCCCTGGCAGCAGACTCAGAGGTGCTCTGGAGAGCTATGTTTTGCATACACACTCTGTTTTGTGTCCTAGGTCTAGAAAGTTCAACTCTATACCGAACACAGAGCTCTAGCAACCCTGCAGAATTACGACAGCTTCTTGATTGTGGTGAGTATCATAGAGAGGCAAATATACAGGGAAAAGATTGATTTTTACCTTTTTTGATTCTGGTAATGTGCAAAAGGAAGAAAAAAGAATTTATGCAGTATTCCCTTTTAAGTTTGAAAGGAACTCACAAAAGCCCATAGTTCCCTCTGACCTATTATGCAGACCTTTGATGTATGTCTTCTGAGGTAAAGTGTGAGTGCAGGCATATAGGCCATTTGCACAGCTGTGGGTCTTCGAGCTCTGTAGGAATTACAGAGAGAACAAATAGTTGGATGTCTCTGGTTCAGTGTATCTACCATCGTTCGTTAACTACTGTTGTCTACATCTAATACATCTGGATCAGCTAAAATATATAAACTATGTAATTTTTTTAGGTTGTGAGTTTCTTTTTGTATTTATTTTTATTTTGAGGTATACACTGCATCTTGATTGGTGTCAACTTTTCCATCATTCCCTCCTCTAAAGCTGGTATCATTTAACAAATACTTCTTCCATCCTTTTCATTTTCTCTTCTACTTGGCTTTCTTGCCTGCTTGCTTTTACAAGTCACAAATATATCAAGGAACATCAGCATATTGTTTTGTTCAGTAGTGTAAACCAACTCTTTCGAAAGAAAAGGGGCTGCTATGTAGCATGTACCTATTTCTGTGGTATAAATATCCGTACTGTTGCTGATTTCAACCTAAAAAACACATTGTCACTGAATGTGGATTTGGGGAAAACTGAGAACAAGCTAGAGCCAGTACACCATTGATTGGTTGGGTGATACTAATTATGCAGCCTAGTAGTAGATGGGTTTCCCCAATTCTTGGCCACCATTCTAGAAAGTCACATCTCATATCAACTTATGAAACCTCTCAAATCCTTCATTCAGTCCCAGTATTTTTTTCTAAAGTCTCTCAAATCCTTCACTCCTAGTGCTTCCTATCATTTTAACTAAATTGGAATATTTGAACCCAAAGGAGTCCAATTCTGGTTCTTTCAGTTTTGGAAGAAGCTCTTTCAGAAGTAGAATTCATATAGGATTGCCCACAGCGATTTAGAAAAGAAGAATCCAAGTGTGTAGTAGCTTTAGAATTAGGCAACTTAGAAAAATGTCTGTAAAAGGTATGATTAGATGTTTAACAGCAAATACTATCCCTTGAAATGTACTGCCCAAATGTTTTGAAACAACAACAACAAAAAACAGCCTTTGTAAACTTAATTTACTATTTGTATGGGGAAGGGGGGGAACAGCCTTCCATATACAGGGCTTTTTCTCCTTTCTTCTGTGATCCTGTATTTCCCAGAGAGTAGGTGATTAGTAGAAAACTCAAGGTGAAAAGACTTGGCTTTCTGTATTTCTAACTGTTAGAATTTCCTTAGCTAATTGAAAGAGATACATGTGCTGGTCAGAAAATTAGTCACATTGGGCATGGTAAAAGTCACAGGAAATGTGTAGACTTCAGAAACCAATGTAATGCATGTTATTTGAAAAGTAGTGGTTAGGTTTTTAGTGGGACCAATACAAAATGATGCAAAGCCAGCTTAAAAGGAGCACTTTTTTTTTTCCACATCACCTATGAGATGTAAACAACCAAGATTCACGTCAGCAATGCATTTTGACAGACAGTTCTCTTCCCCCATTGACATCAGAAACACATGCATGTAGGAAACCTGGGTCCTTTGGATTCTGTGCTATGAAAGTGAATTTTTATGGCACCCAAAAGTAAGCATTATCTAAGTTTAGGAAAGGATTTGCCAAAACTGTTTCCAGCTTGTAGATTTTTCAAATATTATAATATCCCACAGGATGCTCCAAGATAAGGAAAAAATCCTGCCTTCCAACCAACTTTGTGAATTTTCAGTTTCTGAAAATGACAACTGTGAGGGACTATACACCATACACTATATACTATAAGTCATTTTATTTTATCCATATGCTAGCCTTGTAAGTATGAGTGGCCTTTAAGCCACAGAAAGAAAGCTGACTCTCAGGTAAACAAATTCTCCAACATTTCGGTGGCTGACTCGTAAAGCTGTGAGTTATTACATATTGTTATGGCCCCAAGAGTTCTTGTCTTCCCCTGCCCCTCCTACTTTGCCCTAAAACCATTGCTTCATTCTTATCTCATTTGAGATTTAATCATGTAGATCTTCTTCTCTCTTTAGTGTTTCTTAATTTGAATCAGGCTTTCTCAGCCTCCACACTACTGCTGTTTAGGCTGAGTAACTAACTGGGAGAAGGGAGGAGGATTGCCATGTGTGTTATGAGATGGTTAGCCACATCCCTGGCCTCTACCCATTAGGTGCCGGTAGCATTCTGCCCTACTTATGACAGTCAAGAATGTTTCCAAACCTTGCTAGTTGGTCTCTCACTCACCGCCTACTCCTGGGGGGGGGGGAAGCCATGAGCCTAGATAGCGATCTATGGGGGAGGGATGCCTTAGAGTGGGTGGGAGGAATACTATTAACCTCTTATGAGCAGATGAAATGCATAGTGAAGAGAAAGAGAAAGAATGCCACCTCCCCTAACTGAAACTAAAGAGATTATGTAACTACTCAAAAGTTATCTCATGATAGCTGTGGAGAGCTAATGAAAGAGTCTATTAGGTTAGCGTCAATGAAGAAGAGAAGTCTTGTGGAGCAGAAGTTGAAAACTCCAAGGAATTTTAGAAGATGCATTCCAAAAATATAATAACACATACTGTGTCATTAACTCCAGAGGAATTTGATATATAGTGGGTTTAACCAAAGGTGTGTGTGTGTGTGTGTGCGTGCGTGCGTGCGTGCGTGCGTGCGTGTGTGTGTGCGTGCGCGCGTGTGTGTGTGCGTGCGCATGCCAATTTCATTCAAACATTCTAAAGGTTTTGTGGAATGCACTTCTGAGTTCTAAAGAAGGGCTTTGAGGAATGAGCATCACTGAGGACTTCTGTTGTTCGGTCTTCAAACATTTAGCACATTCTACGTGGTAGGCACAGAGGAATGCTGGGAGAGCACATGAGACCTGCAGCCCTTCCCTTGGGCAACCTCAGTCTCATATGGAAATGCATAATTGCCAGACTGCTTGCCAAGAGTCCTGATGGAGGGATTGTTCATTAGCTCTGCAGGAACACAGAGGGTACCCTGTCTGAATCTAGCATCTTATGTCCTATACACATTGCCAAATAGTTTAGCAGATTTTTCAGGATGAGCAAATTCAGTGATACTAATTTGCCAGGCAAAGAGACATTAAATGAAGCATACAAGGGCAAAGTATGTGGGGGGCCAGAAGCCAAATGGTTGGTGACTGTAGAGCATTCCTGTAACATGTACCATCTTATTTGACAGTATTTAATTACACTAGTAATTGCAAACTTTCAATGTGGATCCTTTATGCAGAGACCTAGTACTGTCCTTGTATACTTGCTGGAAACGTGATATGTCTCTGGTTAGTCCTTTCTAGCACATTTAGGTGATACAGCACTTTGCTTTTTCACCTTTTAAATTCCTTTCCATGTTTTACACCTGGCTGGCTTTTCTTAGAGCTTTGTAGTGTGGCATGACTTATCTTACATAACCTTTGCCTGTATATAACATTGTGCAAGGACTTTTTGTAGCTAGGGTCTTGACCTAGCATTCCTCTGTTGTCACAGGTATCCAGGATAGCACCTTCTCCTCACACATGCCAACATCTTGGAATGACAGGGATACTTTCTCATTCTCTCTCAGGCCAGCACCAAGTTACAGCATTGCTTGATGATGTGTTGCTCATTTTTCATTGCATTAGGATACATACAGATCTCATCACTTTGCCTCAGATGCGATTTATTCTTGACCATACTCCCTTCTGGTGTTCTCTCAGCACTCACATTGGGAAAGGTGGGAGAATGTGATGTTTTACACATCCTTCCATCTTCTCTGCCCTGAGTTCCTGGATTCCCAGGTAATTTAGCTTAGCCATTTTTTTTTTTTTGCCAATGTGATGTGTCTCCTGGTTTCTAATTGCCCATGGTCATTCCTGCTTCCAGCATCTCTGCTTCCTGCTGGGCGTGGCACCACTTTCCATCCAAGACCTCAGAATGCTGTATATACGTTGTTGAGTGTACAGAAAATGCTTTTTATTAGTGTCATTCCTTTACAGAATTACTTGACCTCTTTTTCCAGCTGAGGGATTTACTGGACAGACGCCCATTTTATCTTTCTTCTGAGATAATCCGATGTCCACAGGTTCGATTATTAGTAGTGGGGGAAAACATTTCAAAATTATTTGTATGGCTACTTTGAAAACTGAAGCTAACATTCTATAATATCTTATTATTTAATCTATTACTTTGTCAGGTTAAGATTATATTAACTCTGGGGCTGGGATGTAGCTCAGTGGCAAAGCGCTTGCCTAGCAAGCGCAACGTCCTGGGTTCGATCCCCAGTACCAAAAAAGAAAAGACAAAAAAAAAAGATTATATTAACTCTGGAAAGGAGTATGTTCCTGTAATAACAGCAATTAATGAGGAATAAGAAGATAAGGGTCTAAGGCTGACCTTTGGGGAAAAAAAAATGCAGGACTTTGTCTAAAAAGTAACTAAAGGGGGAGAGGGAGATCTAGGGGTGTGGCTAATGGGGTAAAATATCTGCCTAGCAGGTAAGCCCAAATTCCACCAAAAAAATAAAAATAAAAATGTTGTCAATTCTGGAATGTAGTATTCGTCAGTTCAGGTTCAAGGGGATTTGGGAATTGGCGTTTTGTATTTTTCAGTTTCCTGCTAGAGGACCACCATCTCTAGATTGGACCGTTCCTAGTTACAAGTCAAGTGGCTCAAAAATAGACATAGAAATGTATTTTTCATACTTCCAGAGGCTGGAAACCTCAGATGAAGCTACAGGCTCATTTGCTGTCTTCCCTTCTCTTTCAGATGGCTGCTTTCTCACTGTTTCTCCTCTGCATGTTCTTGCTGTCTCTGTGTGTCATAAGCTCCTATTACAAAAATGCTGTCCACTCATTTTTAACCCAGTCACCTCTTAAAGGTCCTATTTCCAAAGATCATCACATTCTTTAGGATTGGGGCTTTATAGATTCCTAACATAGGCATCTGAAGGGGCAGAATTCACCCAGAACTATAGCAGGGGAAGATGTTTCATGGCAAGTTTAGCTCTCAATGGCCAGCCATGCTCAGTGCTTGCATTGTGTCAGGCAGACATACACAAGGGACTATCATGCCACTGAAAGTTTAAGAGCAAGGCTTTATGAGAAACACTGCTGCTAGTAATATTCCAGTGTTTGTCCTTACATTATGTCCTTTCCTATGTCACACTGACATTCCCATATTTGGAAAATTGGCCCAACTGAGATATAAAAAGGAGGTTTGAAATATTTCTTTAAACGTCTCTTTTCTAGATGCTGCCTCCATGGACTTAGACATGATTGATGTGCACATCTTAGCAGATGCTTTCAAACGTTATCTCCTGGACTTACCAAATCCTGTCATTCCAGTAGCCGTTTACAGTGAAATGATCTCCTTAGCCCAAGGTTTGTTTCCTCAACCTCATTGACCATTCTTTGAGCCGGGGATGTGTTTACTACATACATGACAAAGTGCTACAGAACTGATTGTTTTTAGAGAGTATTCATGATAAGTCATCCTTCCCCCTCAGTGCCACTGAAAATTCCCTCCTTCACTCAGATAGAAACTCCAGATTCCCCTTGGCTTAGAAGCCTGGCCGTGAGTTGAACTGGTTAATTGTTCACTTCTGATCAGTATTACACAGACCACTATGTATGTCTGTGAGGGGCATGGTGCTGCAAGTACTAGTGTCAGATTCAAGGGCATCTTCCCCAAGTAACCATAACAAAACTCATGGGGGGAGGAGTGTTAGGAGCTAAGGCACTTCCTTTGGTGCTTTGGGGACAGGAAATTGTGGTTCATAACCTTCAAAGTTTAACCCCTGATACTTATCTGATGCTCCCCAGAATGAGCCAATCATTTTGAGCTGCTGAATGCAGGGCGGGTTTTTGCCAGCACACCCTGAACAGCTTGTGTTTTTCGTTGTTAGTTTTTTTTTTTTTTTTAAAGTAGAGTTTCTTGCATTTTCATTTGACTTGAGAGTTTTACTTTCTCACAGTACATCTTTATGAGGACAAATGCCCTGCATACCTCGCCTGGGGATGCTGTGAGCAGCTCCCTCTGTGGCTAGTGGAAAGAGCAGAAATGGTTGAGGTATTAGTTTACTGCTATCTAAAGATCGTCTCATTCTTTTTTTTTTTTCTTTCTTTTTTTCCTTTTAACTTACAGAAGTACAAAGCTCCGAAGACTACATCCAGCTGTTGAAGAAGCTCATTAGGTCGCCTAATATACCTCATCAGTATTGGCTTACACTTCAGTATTTGCTAAAACATTTCTTCAAGCTCTCCCAAAATGCCAGCAAAAATCTCTTGAGTGCTAGAGTGCTTTCCGAAATTTTCAGCCCTATGCTTTTCAGATTCCCAGCAGCCAGGTAAGTGCAAGAAGTGATTTGTGCATTTAGTGGGCATTAGGGGTGATGGAGATGGCCCCAAATTGAGGGTCCCTAGGACTGTAAAGATCCTGGTTCATAGATGCAAACCACATGCAGACTTTCACATCACTGCAGTGTGCACTAAGGAAAACAAGCTTGCTTTGTGGGATAAGGTGACTAATAAAAGCCCTCTCTTACAGCTCTGATAATACTGAAAACCTCGTAAAAGTTATGGAAATTTTAATCTCAACTGAATGGAATGAGCGACAGCCAGCACCAGGTAAGGCCTGGCAACATGTGTCATTGACTTATTGTTCATTGTTTTTAAGTCTTAATAATGGTAGTGTTCCATCTCTGAGGTAATAGAACTTCCTGGTACAATTACAATCTATAGTAATGGCTCCACAGAAAAAAAAATAGTGGAGTGTTAATGCAGGTGGTAGCTATCTGAATTTCAGCCATTGCAGATTTTAAGTTATCTTGGGTTTTGTCTTTTTGTTTGCTTGCTTGCTTGTTTGTTTAGTCAGAGCCACTATCTGCTGGCCTTGAATTTGTTACCTAGCCCAGGTGACCTCAAATCCATGCTCCTACTGCCTTAGCCTCTTGGTTTTAGATATGGATTATGAAAGGTCCTTGGACCCAGGACCTTTTAGGCTTCTAGTTGTTGAATAAAGTTATGGAGTTCATTTTAGTTGTTGACATTTTTGTTTTTCTTTCTAATACTTACAAAGTAGGGGATATAACTACTATATAATTTAAAATATTTTGGAATGTGTGTTTTGGAACCAAGTATGCTGCGAAATGTCTGTCAAAATAAACATTTTCAATAATGCAAGCAGTATGAAAGCAGGTTCTCTGAAGCAACTTAGAGCAGGCTAGACACTTCTTTGAAAGCAGTCTGGAGCTCACTTAGCCATTTAACAAAGCAGGAAATGTAGACTGAGCGAGCAGTGGATTTAATTTAAACTGATGTATTTTTCTTCTACTGTAGAGAGCCCAAGCAACCTTATTTGGCTGTGTGCCTCTGGGTAAAATCTAACCAACAGAATCTGGTCATTTAGAGTAGTGATTCCTGGTCCAAAAACTTCCCCTTAGGACTGCTGAAGGTACTTCTTTGAGGTCTTGGTTTATACCTGTGTGGAAGTGGAACCCCTGCCTTTGTTACTTAAGATAGGTAACTTGGACAGGTTGACGGTTGCTGCCTCGGTATGATCAGCTGTAGGGAACCTAGGGGACCCGTGTTACACAATGGAGATCTGTATTGTGCATTTTAGTCAGGTGATTCATAGCCAGTTGGATTATTTGCCTCTGGATGGGGCAACCTTCAGGAATAGCCTAGGGGATAGGATAGCTAACTGCTTAAGATACTGGAATTGGGACAAGCCCCTAATAAAAGGAGAGATAGCAGAATGAACAGAAATGGACTGTTTCACACAGATGCCCACAGTTAATTATCCACAGATGTGGTCTAGGACGATGGTGTAGGGTGTAAGACTGCTGAAGTCATTTGATAATGGATTTGGGAGTTCTGTGTTCAAGGGCTTTGTGGTAAGTAGCAAAGAGTGGTTGCAGACCATGGCATATCTTTCCCTCTCTCCTGACCAGTGCTGAGGTATGTCAGAGGGGAGGGAAAACTGAGCCCTGCTTAACAGTGAAGGGCTGAGAGTCATCCTGGTTTTCTCAGTGACCCCCCATCCCTGGATACACGGGCAGCTCAAAGCCAGAAAGAATTTAACAGATACCCACAAATTGATTTGTCTCTGAAGTTTTTGAGAATTTCTAGCACACAAGGTATGGTAGACCCAGTGGTAGGACTTGACTAATCTGACTTAAAAACTAATGAAATGTCTCCTATCAATCTCAGTTTAATTTCACCAAAGCAAAAATGTATTGGCAGCTGTTCTCATAAATGTACCTTAAAGTGGCTTGATATGTCAAGGGATCCTCCATTCCTCTATTAAGAAATTTCTGTGCTGATCTCTAAGGAGGATTAGTTCCCTCAGCTCTGCTGAAGAGTGACAAAGCCTTGAACGCTGGCTAAATCATCCAAGTATTCATGCAGCCTCTTCTAAGAAAAATGAAATCTAATGTATAAACTTGAGCTGAGCCATTTTATCTTGCAGGCTATCTTAGGCACTCTGAAAATTATATAGACCCTTTGGAAGGAAATGGATGCTGTGTTGTCTCTCACTTGTGAAAACACTTTTCCTCCCTTGCAGGGGTGAGAGAAAATACCCCCTTCCTGAACACGTTTGCTCTTTGGATGGCTCTAGTGCAAAGGCTTGGCACTAGAGTGACTTCTTAGGCCTGGTAGGAATGTCCTTCTTCACAGCCCCAGCCTGTGCTGGTCCCTGAGGGCTTTCGAAGCATAGCAGCAGCTCACTGCCAACGACTGGCAATAAATCAGCCCTTTAGGATAACTTGCTATGAATAGAAATGAGTGCTTGAATGATATTTAGATGCTCACCAAAAGCACCCATCTATTAGGGGGCAGATAGACATCTTTTCATTTTTAGCAGATAGAATTTGAAATAATAAAGCTGATGATGTTTGAGGCCTTGGTAGCACATAGATTTAATTACATACTCGTTACATACTTAATCAGATTACAGTATGAATTTGAGGGAGGCAGTGGGTGACTTTTTAGAGTAATTAACCAGAAAGAGAAAGTTCATGGAAGAAATGTGGCTTGAATTGGGCCTTGAAAAAAGGGTACACTTTGAAGGAAGGAGACGATAACATTTTAGTGTCCAGCCAAAAAGTCTTCTGAAGCTTGCAGCATGTCATCAGCTAAACTCTGCATAGTGAGCAGCGCCCCAGTCCATGCTGGTCACTTTCTTTCTTTTTTTTTTTTTATGCTGGTCACTTTCAAGGTAAAGCCCCACATAGCTCCATTATGTGGGGTGGGAAGAACCCAGAGCTTTCTGAAGAGAGAGAGATCTGGAATCTCAGCTCTTTGTTCCTTACCTGCCGAGTTCTTCCTCAAGTTGATCAGTTTTGCCAGACTGTTTCCAGACTATAGAATGAGAACAGAGCCTCTTCACTCCTGGGGTTATTTTGAGGGTTGCTATGTAGTTTGGTGGTTGGGTGACCAGGATGTCAGCACCACTCTTCCTGTAACGTTGTCTGAGGTGCGTTTGCACAGTGCACAAAATGTCCAACTGTACAGTGTTCCCAAAAACTACCATCTACTTACTTCATCTGTGCCTCAGTAGGTCCTAGCCCTGCTTTATGTGCAAGTTAAGACAACCCATTCAATATATTCAGTTCCCCAGGTCCCCATCTCATGTACTTACCGGTCCTGTAGTTTTTCCTATACTTTAACCATATAACTACATTTCTGAAGGACAAGGACAAACTTGTTCTCCTTTTGCTCTATATCTAGCACAGATCTGGGTACAGTATAGTGAAAAACCTAGCGTATGGGGTTGTTTTTTTTTTTTTGACTCTGATAAACCACAATCTTCAAAGAAGTTTTAGAAACCATGTCATTTAATGTATCGGTAGTTGTGTGGAGTAAGAGTTCTTTCATGGAGGGAAACAGATTTGCAAAGGTAACACACACAGTAGGTTTCAGAACTTTGTTGATAGTTTCTCTTTGTTACTAAAAGTCTGCTGAACAGCAGATTTGCTGGAATCATTATATGTAATAGTCACCCTACTCATACTTAGGTAGCTACAGAAGATTTGTATAAGGCAACCAAGGTAAAAAAAACAAGTCTGTTTAAGACAAGGTGCCTTTGAATGCCGCCCTTCCTAAGTGTGTTTACATATTTCATATTTCACGGATATATCCAGAAATATTAATGGAGCATAATTGGAGTCTAATATTGCACCCTCAAGGCTAGAGTAGAAAATGAATGGCTCTTTCTCACCCCTGCCCCTCTACACCTGTCTATGTTAATTTTTAACCATCAGCACATTGCACAACATTCATCCTGAAGAGCCTGATTCATAAATCTTGTTTTAAATGCTCTGGGCTTGGTTCTTAACCAAGACTAAAGCAATCACCTAAGTAGCAGGAGGAAAGAGAATTTAATTTCAAAGGGCTTTTGCATTTTTCTGATTTTTTTAAAAATTGGATTTCAAATGTGGTCCGACATTAGGAGGTTGTTACCAGGGTGAGAAATGAAACCTTGAAAAGTGTACACACGTACTGAGACAGGCAGAAGAGAATGGAGGCCAAGCACCCTAAACTTTAATAAAAGCAAGTACATTTTGCTTGGGTGATGAAACGATGCGACCACCTCAGTGGGCAGTTGTGACCCAGTACAGTTCCACAGTTTTGCTCTCTCTTGGCTCCTGGGGAGGAGCTCCTTAGGCCAGGTGATGGGTGTATGTTTTTGTTACATCGCTGGTAGAATGTGTCAGGTTTTACATATATGTAAACCTGGGTTTATTTATAAACTGAAGTGGACATTTTTCCTTCCTGCAGTCACTAAGAGCATTGGATGTGGAGCTATGAATTTGCATCTTCCTGAAAGACCCTTCTGTCTAAATTGTCTTAAGTTAAAAAAGTATGAAGGGAAGGCATTTGTTTTACATTTAAATGAAGACTTTGGCTCATTGAATGTTTTTTTACTCCCTTCCCCCCCCTACTTTAAATGGTCTTTCCCTGGTGATAGCCCACGGGAAACCTTTAAGCACCAGGCCCTCTAGCTTTCAGGCTTCTTTTGGGCTTTTGGCTGCTTGGAGGTAATTCACGCAGACTGAACGCTCCTTTGAAACTTTCACACATTTTAATGATGGTGACATTTTCCTGACAAGCATATTAAATCTGCTGAAAAACAAAATCGAGGGTTGTTTTTGCCTCTTAAGTGAAGTTTCACAAATGGTTGGGGAAATGGGATATATAATTGTCTTGGAGAATCCAGAAAACAAGTTAGTCTTCAGTTGTGTGTAACAGGTTTCTAGTGTGGATGGATCTTTGAGGTCCCAAATAAATGCTGGCATTTACACACAAGTTTTTCTAAAGGAGCTTCGTAGCCACATGAAAATTGTTTCCGAAGTATTAAGAAATCTGTGTTTTGCTTTATTAGTGATTTGTATGGATTGAATGGCTGTTGTGCAGATATGTTGATGAGTCTGTGGCATTTTACAGTATACATTTTCTCTCCAGCAAGAGTTATTCTATACTGTCAGCAGAGGGCGCCCTTTTTAAGCTAATGAAAAGCATGTGTCTTACAGAGATCACTTTCCAAATACTAAAATTCAGTGGGAAAGATTGAGTTCACAGATTCAGTAATACAATAGAGCCTCTACAGATGATTAGACATTGGG